CAAACATCTATCTCACATCCAGGGTGAAGTTATGCAGCTCTCACATTGCCAGACTGTTTTGTGTGAACTGGAGCATTGTTCAACTTGCGTGTTTTCCGGCAGAAACAGCCATTAATGGCATAGTTGTAAACATCACGATCAGCATTTATGCATTTCACAGTCTTTCAATATTTTGGTCCTACCTGTATCTCATTAAAACCTGCATGAGGTCTTTAGAAAACAGAGCAAAGTTCATGCAGACATGTGTGCCACATTTAGTCTCCTTGCTCACGTTTCTGGTCACTATACTTTTTGATGTCATGACTTTGCGACTCTCTTCAAAAGATTTCCCTCAAATGATTCCAAACTTCATGGCGATAGAATTTCTCGTCGTACCACCCCTTATAAATCCTCTCATTTATGGCTTTAAACTGACTAAAATTCGGAGCAAAGTTTATCGTGTATTTACTTTTATAGTTAGAGTAAAGTAGCACTTTTTCTTTTCTTGTGCCTTTATTCGATAGCGCAGTGAGAGAGAGACATGAAAGTGGGGGAGAAGAATGGGGGAAAGGGCCATGAGCGGGATTGGAGCTCATGACCTCCACATGGGGACTGTAGCCCTGCACATGGGACGCCAGCTCAACCAGATGAGCTGCAGCAGCGCCTCAAAGTAGCGCTTTATTTAATTTATATGAGTGTTAATTTTTTCTTTGCATCCACTACCTGTTGTCTTTACAGTTGTACAGTTATATATATATATATATGTTGCACTCAATGTATTTTGAATGATCACTTGCCTGATTGTTGTTTTGCATTTAGGAATAAAATGAATGTAATTATAAAACCTGAAGTTTTTATGTTTTTATTTATTAAATGTCAGATATTTGAAGTGATTTTTTGCTTTTGAAGAGTCATCACATGCACAAAGGGCAAAAGACAAACAGGCCCAACACCTGTCAAATAAGATGTAGGTGGACTTGCTGTCTGACATTTAACTCAAAAAACAGTCCACTAGAGGACTCTAGTGCGTTTATATTGTTGTTCAGTGTATTAAGAGTCTTTGAAGATACTATAAGAACTGTTCTTAAGCGACATTCTGGATTCCCCTGTTCATTATCCTGAATAGAAACTGATGGTTTCCGCTGAGACCAGAATTAGATGCAATCAATCTTTACACAGTGGCGAGATAGCATGATGTGTTGCTGTTTGTAACCATGGAAACATGCTTATTCTGAGCCTGGTAGTGACCAGGGGTTGACTTTTTAAGGCCTAAAATAAATTGATTTGTCTGAAACATGCAGTGTAAGTTGCACTGACTATGAGCAAAATTAAGACTGTCTGTCTTCAGGAATGGGAGGAATGATAACTGCAATAAAAGTGAGACACAAACTGGAAAATCTGCACTCAAAATACACTCAAATCCTAAAAACAGCAAGCTGAAGAAATCATGGTGTCCAGCGAACACATTCACTTGACTTCTTCATTCACTGTGGTGCTTTTTTTTTACCTTCATGTGCAGTAGGCTGAAACATGCTGAAGAAGGAATCCCCTGTCATTTTCCAAAAGCAGTGAGCTCCCATCCCAGAGCACTGATTGGCTGGT